CCCCCCCCCCCCCAAAAAACCACTCTCTTCCTAGTATGATTCCTTTCACTCACTAGCAACATATGGCCTAGGTGATTTTGACACCAATACCATGACAAATTAGACCTTTTCAATCTTAAAATAGAAGAGGATCATTGACCACAATTCTAATTGTATAAGTTAAAACAAAGTTCGGCAAGATTATTTCCTCTGGACATGTAACTCAACAACAGTAGAGAGCATCACTTTGTCGTCAAAATAGCACAGTATAGCCAGTTTTCGGACTGATCATTCAAAAATAGCCAGCGTTTACCAAGTCAATGAAAAATAGTCACTATTTTGCTGCAACAGAGACCGGTCCAGCATAATATACTGGAGTTCGGTGCACCTGTGTATGAACTCCAGCATATTATGTTGGACCGGTATACTTTGGTGGCTCCAGTATAATATACTAGAGACTGGAGCACCGGTGCTCCAAACTCCAATATATATGCTGGACCGGTATACTTGCTGGAACTCCAGTATATTATGCTGGAGTTCTAGTGTACTTATGTTGGAACTCCATCATATTATGCTGGAGTTCCAACATTCTTATCCTGGAACTCCAGTATAATATGCTGGAGTTCAAGTATAATTATGCTGGAACTCCAACATAATATACTGGCGTATTTTCCGGGTTTTGAACAGTGTTTTCGCTCAGATTTATCTTTACATGAAAAGTGGCTAAATTTCGATTACTTTTGAAACTGAGCTATTTTTGGACGACCAGTTATAAATCTGGCTATTTTTGAATTTCTCCCCACTTTGTCATCTCTTCTTGCGCAACAAATCCTATTTGGCAGTTACTGTAGGTAAAGTATATCAAAGACCGTATATAAGATAATCAGCACTGTGATTTACCAAGTATACTTTTTATTCCAGAACAAAAAAGAAACACACATTCCACGTCTAATGGAACCTATCCGTTAAAATTTACAGAATCATAGGCTAACAACATGTGTCATATGAGCTTTAGAAATTCATCTGCCCAATAAGGCAACCCGATCTTTCTGAACTGCCTGAGTTAAATTTATGTCGAAGAGTTCACACCGGATTGGCATTTCCATTTCATAGAAGGGGTTCTTCAAGACATAATCAGTGTATAATTCGTAAACGTACTTTAAGAGATATTCCATATGCAGAGTTCCAGGTTCACTGACCACAAAAACTTTTGTCCCTGCAATTAGAATGCCCAATTCTTTAACTGGTCAGATATTAATTAACCATCGATCAAAAGAAAAAGAAAGAAAACTGAATATCATCAAGTCAAGTTAAATTTTCTATGGAACTCTCAACTCAATGGCATAGGAATTAGTTTGATGCAAGCACAAATACGTTGGAACCAGTCTGTTAAACATCTACCTAAGATGCTGTCCGTGCAGTATCATCCACCATTTCCATTGCACTATCACTTTAATGTGCTTTTTTCAAATCACTATTTACCAATTCTGTTTCCATATACTAAAATGTGTCACTTTATTTTCCAACGTAGCACTATCCAAAATAATTTCTTAATCCAAGAAGAATGTCATCTATTGAAGATTAATTATTAGAGATGTTAAAGATCCACCAAATCTTACATTTTTTTTTGTGTGTGTGTGTGTTTCTTTGATAGGGGATCATTGGAGTCACTGTTAAAAATATAATGCTCTTGGTGGGCTGTTGGTTAAAATTTAAATGGAACTACAGAGTTGCATGGTCGGCGACCTTTTGAGGTGATAGAGGTGAAAATGCATAAGTTATAGTATGTTATAACAAGCTTCATTCCTTACTTCCTTTTGTCACAAGGCACAATCCTTACTTTCCTTCTCTCTTTCTTCCCTTTTGTGACCTCTTTTATATGAAGGAACAATCATAAGACCACTGATTCAAGAGCTCTGTGTGCATACTCTACATAAGTCATTTATTAAACAATGAGGCAGTATGCCTATAATCAATTCTTCCCGAGCCTAAAGTAATAGAAGTATTATCTATTGAGTCATGGAGATTATTTCTTGTGTATTTTCACGTCTTCTTTCGGAGTCCTTACAGAGTAAAAGATGTCTCTCCAGCAATATTTAGAGATGCAGTTGCATAGATTATAGCATTGTTCGAGTGTCTTCATTTCCATCACAGCGTACAAGCTCTCAGCAGATGCTCAAGAGTCAATTTGATTGCAGTAGGACTGCTAAGCATGTGTTGCTTTGCTTTAGAGCTAAAGAAACTTAGCATTACACTAACACAAGAGTACCAAGAAGAACCAAGCCTCCCATAACAAGTTCACAGAAAGGTTTAGGTTCTAGTTGTCCATCTTTGTCTAGTCTCCAACACCATACGTCTAGCTTTTCTGAATATTCAAGTTGGAAGTTTCCTGGTTTCATGATTGAAATTGGAAGAAATATAAATAATACAAACAAAAAATAGGAGGCAATTACTTTTTTGCATTAAGCTTCAGAGGCTGAACCTAGAGTACTTCTTTTACCCTTTTCCAGCTTAGGGCATCTCCAACGCCACTCTAAATCTTGCACCAAATCCAAATTTGGTGCAAGAAATGGTGTTTTATTGCTCCAATGCAACACCATTTTTTGCACTATTATAGAGTATGAATCACTCTATATTTGGTTTAATATTATTTTATTCAACTTTTTTATTTTTGGACTTTTAATTTATCATATATTGTGTATATAATTAACTTTTATATTAAGATCTTTATAATTTTAATTTTATATCCTATTTTTTGATATATTAATTTTTGTATATATTATATTTATATAAAATTATAAGTTAATTTTATTATTATTATAATTGTATAAAAAGAAATATAACCATTATTTAAAAATAAAAAATACAAATGTAAGATATCTAATGTTGCTAAAATTAAAAAGTGAAAACTAAAATTTAAAAAAGAAAATTATAACAATACATAAAAATGATTATATAAGTGGTAGTAGATGAAGATCACCGATTTGAACCATTTTTAACTCGACACAAAAAAATTAAGGATAAAGATGCGCATTTCGCACTTTGTAATGCATTAATCGAGCGTTTATGGGAGAATAGAGGCGAAACTTAAATATTTATGTGGTACTTAAATTAAATTTGACTATGATGTAATATTTATTTAATTATCTTATATCAATGATTTCACTTTTTGTTAATTTATCCTTTAAAATAATTTTGTAATAAATGATTATATAAGTGGTGAATGTGAATTATATATAATGGATATGGAAAAAAGAAAAAAGATAGTATTAGTTTGAAGGAAATAAAAAATGAAAAGTAAATAGAAGATAATAATATAATATAGAAGAGAGAGAAGATTAGGTGTAAAAAATGGTGTAATGGTTGGAGTAAATTTGGTGTTACACCATTTTAGTGTGAAATTTGGTGCAAAAAATAGTGCTAGCGTTGGAGATGGCCTTAGAGGACTTGATTAGTTTTTAACTTTGCAGCCAACAAAAACACTTGAAGCCTTTTCTTTTCTAGTTTCTTTAGTCCCCTGGAAATAAAGCTTTAATTCCTTCAAGCTTAGAGCGTGCACCCTTATGACTACATATTTTCGTCACTAAAAGATAGACACTTCAGCATATAGCGCAGATTTAAAATTTAGAAAAATGCAAAGTGGAAGTTCATCAATATATTAATAATGAAAGGTGATTCTGAAAAGTAAATCAAAATCAAAATGGTGGAAGGTAAGATGTACCAGTTAGAGATTGGAAGCAATTCAGATCGAAAGTATCAGCTTGAAGGAGTTCGATACCGGAGCAACCAGGAATTGGGGATAGCTGCTGAGAGATAGCATGCATCGAATGCCATAGACTTGCCAATCTCAAAGTATCATTTGTGTCCATTCTTCCAGCAGAACCATAGTCCTAGTGATTTTACACATTCATTACAACCACAAATAAGTGCAGACAAGAAGGAACTATATTTGAGTAAATATCCACACAAAAAATATCATAACCACAAATAAGAAAGCTAAAAATTTTGAGAATGTGAAGTTTACCTTGTAGAAAATAAGCCCTCCTGATTTATTGATGATGTAAAGGCTGTATATTGCTGCCATTTTGATTAAATCCTTTCTCTTTGTTGGCCTCACTCTTGCATCTGAGTGGATGTAGTTCATAAACTCAGTAAGTGAAGATTTCAGGCTATGTTTCAGGAGAACAAATCAAACATTGCATTTGATATAATTTCACAAAGGAGCCACAAAGAGGAGAGTTGGTCTCAGTGAATTCAGTTCACAAGCTTAGCAAACGAAGGTTTCAGGCAATCTTACTGAAAAACAATCCAAAACAATATTGCATTTGATACAAATACCCCTTAAAAAGAATACTTAGGCAAAAGACCACATTACGGTAGGCAGTCTTTTGTCACATGAATCTACCAAAAGTAACCCCCTGATAAATGTACTACTCCCTTAGGCAAAACAAGCCAACAAGAGACCATATCTATATAGTTACACGCGTAACCAACAAATATCATATTGGGTCTTTTTCTGGCCCAGGGGCAAAGCTAAGGTATCATGTACGGGTTCGGACGAACCCAATAGCTTTTGTTTAGACCCTATATTTGTATTAGGAAATATGTATAGATATCTAATTGTGAACCCAGTAACGACAACGAGTTATGGCATTGATGGCAATTCTGAACCCATAAACTTTGAAACCTAGCTCCGCCCAATTTGTGCAGCTACGCGAACGACTCATAGCTCAAGGGGCCCCCAGGATTTTAGAGACAGTGGGTTCTAAATTCTTCTTAAGTTAACACTAAATCAATCCCTCAAACCGGATGAAATAACATGTACCAGTTACAAAGAAACTGTATGCCTAACAGGAAACTCTTAATACCTTTTGAATTGGAGCTAATTGGTTATAACCAGAGACAGATCACTGGGAAATCAAAAAGAAAAAGTAACGGCAGTTTAACCCAATAAGTAATTTGCTTCTCGGATCTACTAATGCTATAGGCAAGCAAATTCATGAGGACAAATTAAAGCATCTGTTATACGAGTAGCAAAAACATGACAAATATTTACCTCAAATTGATTTACCGATACATAGAAAACAGTTACTCCTATTAACAAGAACAGTAGGAATCAAAAAATGAAACAGTTGAACAAATGAATTTAACTGGAGTCAGAGGTGAGCGAAAGAACCGTCCTTGTAGTTTGTCGAAACGAGCAACCTAACTTGAGGGGCAAATATGGATACTTTGCATAGTTTATGGGTAAATTTGACATTTTCCTTTGTTAAAAATGTTGACGTGTTGGGGTAAAAAGCTTATCTTTAATGCGGTAGGATTAGATGGAAGGGTTTCTTATGGGTCGGTTCGATTTAGTATGCTAAACCAATATCTGAATCAGTAAGAAATTCATTATTGGTGTCAATTAAAAATCGATTGGCGATCGTTAACGATTAAATTGTCGATTTAACCGACATGGCTGGAAGATTATTTCAATGTGTCGCGTGTTATACTTGATGACCTGAGATGAATTATTGATAATATTCTATTTGATTATCAAACTAAATGTGTCAACATAACATTTTACGTCTACATGTCAGAACGCTTGTATGAAAATAGAGTATTGCTTCACATCATTTTACTCCCATTATTCATAAGCTGGAAGAAGTCAAGAAGCTACAATAATATTGTAGAAAATAAACACTGATAAGGGTCATCTTTATCGTTATTCTGAAAGCAATGAAAGGAAAATAGAAAATATGATTTCTAATTCTAAAGCCTAAAGTAGCTTTATATAACTATGGGTAAAAAAGTAAATATAACAGACCTTATTGGTTATCGGTTTAACTATTAAAAAACTTAAAAAATCGTTAATTGACTCGATAGACCGACAACATAAAATATAAAATCGTTTATAAACCTTTAAATTGATAACCCGATACCAATAAATCAATCATTTTTTTTTTGTTCCGTTTATTGATTAATCAAAATTTGCACGCCCTTAGTAGATCTGCACCTAATTATTATCGGAGAGCAAATTTAAACTATTTTGCAAAGTGTAAGACAAATTTAGATTTATTGCAAAGTTAAGGATCAAACTTGAACCATTTCATAAGTTAAGGGTGAATTTAAACCTTTTCACAATGCTAATTAAGCTTATACTTATTTTATCTCGTAGGTCCGGTTTACAACTCTTTGTACAAGTAAAACCCTAAACCCCGAGTTCTAAGGTGCGCCTCAGCTGAACTTTCTGTGTAATAATAATCACTCTACAGTCTGAAGAGAAAGCAAATAGTCTTCCATAAAAAAAACTTAATTCTGCAGTCAGTTCTCTATTCCTTACCATTCGATTTGCCAGCAAACTATATAGAGATGGCATACTTTCGACAAAGGGATTTCATGTTCTGTGAAATGTGCAGAACAATGCTTACTTTTGATTCCCCCAAGTATGCTCGCTGTCCCTTATGCAAATTCAAGAAACGCGTCAAAGGTTTGCCTTTTCCAACCCTTTAATGTAATAGTTTTTTGGCGAAATACATAAACAGCCCCTTTAAGTTGTCCACCACGATCAATTGAACACCTTAACTTGGCATCTAACCAGATAAACACCTCTGTTTGGTAGAAGTATATTCTCTTAAACCCCTTACGCTGACATGGCAAATTTTGTGTGTTACACTCAGATCTACGTGTGTGAAGATCTTAAAAATTAGATTTATCTTTTTTTTTCCTAAATTAAAATGGATCCCACCTAATTCTTAGATCTCCTCCTTCTCCAATTTTTCCTCCACATCTTCAGCAGTCCTTTGCCCTAAACTTACTCATCTTTTCCCTCCATGACAGAAAAAATATATTAAAGACACAGCTTTCATTACCACCATAATCACTATCCACTATTAGGCAAATTCAAAAATTAAAAAACCCCACTATTATACCACCACATAATCACTAACGTTTCTTCAATCTCACTTCCCAAAATCTGGAAAAAAAAACATCTAAAACCTTCAAATTTCACCACGATTTGGATTTAACAGTGGTTTTTGCTGGTAAAGTATATCAATCAAGTGGGTTGAGACGATTTATGATTTAATTTTGAGAAAGAAGAAAGAAAAAAATAGTGAAGGAATCTTTGACGGGCGGTGCAGAAAGATTAATATGTGACCAAATAGAGGAACCAAACCAATGGAAGAGCAGCAACGAAATTTGGGAAGAGCAGTAATGGAAGCAAAGCGAACAACGACTTTTAATGGAGTAAAGCAGCGGTTGCGCCTGCAATAGAGAGGGGAATGTTTGAGAAGGAGAAATTGAACATCTGAGAGAAATAGTGATTAAAGGTGAGAATTTTTGTTGTATTTTGTGTTGTGTTACAGTGGTGAAAAGGAGCAGCATCCATGGCGTTAAAGGGAGAAGAAGCTGACTTTTCTTTGATGGTTTATGACTTTTTGGTTGTTTTACTGTGGCTTAAGTAATGGTTTTGGTTGGGAGATGGAAAAGTAGGGGCTTTTCTTCCTTTTTTAATTAAAATTATAACTATTTTTTTAATATAAACTATAATTTGTTTAAGAAAAACACGTGTCACTCGGTAATTTGTCTGTGTGACAAGTCATCAGCGAGTGTAACTCACACATGAGATTTGTTGAACTGGGGTGTTCACAAGACACACCTGTGTCAAATAAAAATGTCTATGTGGTCAGATGCCAAGTTAAAGTGTTCAATTGATCGTTGTGGACAACTTAAAGGGGCTGTTTATGTATTTGTCTTTCACTGTATCTTCAACTTCACTTGTCTGTATAATTTCACATGTCGAAAGTGTAAGAAAAATGAGTAAATAATATTGACTAAGAACAAGAAGGAAAGAAGAACAATTTATCAAAAATACTATGTCGTGGCAAGCCACTGCCTTGAAAGCGATTTGGGCCAGACTAGGTGCAAATCTTTAAGGTCGGTCGCTCCCCAAGGTTCCACAGCACCTCCAAACACGTGCACTCATGGCTGGAAGTTTAGAATTTGCACAAAATAGTTGCCCAGAAAGAGGAGAAGATGAAGTTATTTTCTGTAATTGTTACAGAAACTAAAGAATATTGTAGGAAGAAAAGTAATGATTAGCAAGATGGATTCTTGGTTAAGATTGAGTGATTATGATGCCTAATCCCTAACCTATTTATAGGCAATTAAGGAGGTTGCATGTATGACAAGTGTCGAGAGTCTTTTGACACTTGTCCCATTATATTAGTCCACTTGGCTCCAATATTGACAAGTGTATCTTGTTTTCCATGCATGAAGACATATGGTAGATTTGCATAGTCAAATCAAGGCCATTCAACACTTGGCTTTAAGGCTTCATGCAAGAGTCCACTTGGAAATAGATATGACATTTGAAAAATAAATAAAAAATTCATGGCTATTGGTTGTAAATGGAATTTCAAATTGACTTTGCATTATGAATAATTCCAACAATCCCCCACTAATGCAAAGACAAAAATAGAACAATTCTGGGCAAAAGAAGGAACATGTACTTAAGTGTCAATATCTTTCGATTTGAATTGACACGTAGTGAAATGAGGCAACAACTAACATCCACAAAGTGAAGTACTCTTGAACTGAATGGACATTAGCTGAGACCCCCACAATACATACTATATCCTTAACTTTATGCAAATTCTGCGATACTAACAAAGTGCTTTTATGGTCATGCACATACCTTAGGTCTCATGAGTGCTCTAGAAAGACATCCCAAGTCTTTCATAAAAGGCGACCGCACCTTTACACTCACGTAGGTGATTCCATCAAGTCTATCTACACATAGCTACCTTAAGGCTATGGAATCATTAAGAGCAAAATAAGCTCAACCTTATAAAGCACACTACCACACGCCATAGGGATAGGAAATGTAGTGCATATTGAGGTCTCATATGGCTTCGTTTGACCACAAACGGGTATCCACCATACTTCCTCAATCCATGGGCTTTAGCCCCATCCCCCTTGACGTTTCAAGGATAACTCTCCTTGCCAAACCCTTGGTTAAAGGATCCGCCAAATTTCTTTCGGATCTTACATATTCCAAGGAAATAACACCATGTTTCAACAACTATTTTACCGCACCATGCCTAATGTGGATATGTCTTTTTTTTCCATTGTACACACTATTTTTGGCAATTCCAATTGCTACCTATGAGTCACAATGTAGAGAAACCGGTGAAGCTTGTCTTTCCCACAAAGGCACGTCTGCCAATAAGTTTCTCAACCACTCGGCTTCTTGCCCTGCCAACTCAAGAGCAATGAATTCAGACTCCATAGTAGATCGTGCTATACAAGTCTGTTTTGAAGACTTCCATGAAATAGCACCTGCACCCAAAGTTAACACATAGCCACTAGTGGAGTTAACTTCATCATTGTCAGTAACCTAGTTTGCATCACAAAATCCTTCTAAAACAGCAGAAAATTTATTAAAATGCAAACACCAATCCATAGTACCTCTCAAATATCTTAGCAAACGATGAAGAGCATTCAGTGTTCACTACTAGGGTTATGAGTATATCTACTCAATCTACTAACAGCATAAGCAATATCAGGTCGTGTATAATTCATGAGAAACATTACACTACCAATTGTGAGCACGTGATTTTTTTCCTACATAAAAATAACTCCTAAAAAATAGACCAAAAGTAATTTTTATTAATTTTAGGAATTTTTCTTTGTTTATTTGCATTTCATGCATTTTTAACATTTTTAAATCATAGAAAAATCCTAAAAAATTGTCATTTTTACATATTTATCTTTTAGTCTTTAAAATTAGCATTTTTCTTTAGTTTTAAGTTAATTAGTTGTTTTAATGTTAAAAATAAATAAAGAATTTTAATTTCTGCAAAGATAGATTGATTCAGGATTTTAATTAATTAAAAAAAAGAAAGAAAACAAAAGAAAAGGCTGTTTTCGATATTGGGCCACCCCAAAGAGCAAATGTAATGGCCCAAATGTGATTCTTTTACTCAATTCCCACACAACCCAAGCCCATTCCCCTACCCTTATCTGATAAAAGAAAACCTAGGAGCTATATACATAAAAAAAAATGCCTAATATCTAAGAGAGAGCAGAGAGACAATACACTCTGAAGAAAATCAGTAGCGCCGCAATACAGACCCACCAGTTCCTCCATTCACAATCAAGCTCGCCGGAATCCAGCAACAATCTCCAAAAATAGAACCTAACAGACCTTAGTACCATCAGATACAAGGCGCAGCAGAACACAAAAACGACCCCCCTTTCCTGAAACTCGATCATCTTCTTCAACAAAAAGCATTCAATGGCACACAGACCTTGAATATTCAGCCGATTTCCATGGATGGAAGCTAAGCTTTCTTCATTTTCAATAAAGAGAAATCTGG